CCTTATAAAGATGTTCATTTATTTTATTATTATCATTATCAGATTTAGCCATACGGCTCACACTCCCTCTAAGGGGAAAATTCGCTCATCCCAGATACCTACGGTATCAAAAGGATTGAGCTCTGGTGGGACTCTTTCCGTGTTATCGAGCCCTAGGTGACTTGGTATGCTGGAGTATCTCCCAAAAATTTTCGTACACGTCGGGATGTTGAGAGTAGTACAGCTTTTTGCATGGTCTTGTAGAGATGTTCATTCAGACCTAGCTTTTTTATATTTTCTAGGAGGTTCTTTGGAATGACTCCAGTAGTAGAGAGAATAATAGGTATTGTCTGGGTACTTTCCATTTTCCACTGTCTTCGTATTTGAATTTCCAAATCTCTGTACTTGGCGATTTTTTCGTTCTGTTTAACACGAAGATTATTGTTGTTGGGTATCGCCACATCAATTAATGTTGTTTGTCTCTTTAGTTTATTAACTAGTATGAGATCTGGTCTATTATGTGCCACTGTTTGGTCTGTGAGCACCGTGCGATCCCAGAACATATTTATAATATGGAAGATGGTTTGTTTGAAGAAGTCCCAGTTTGATAGCTATCTCTTGATGAAGGATCTTTCCTACTGAGTCGTGCCTTTCCTTATATTCAGTTGCAGCAAATGCCTGACAGCCCCCGGTAAGATGTTGAATGGTTTCCTGAGCTTGGCATCCATATCGGCATTTGTCATTTTGGACCTGAGGGTCTTTGACAATATATTTCAGGTAATTTTTGGTTGGTATAACCTGATCCTGAATGGCCAGTAGTGAACCTTCTGTTTCGGGGAACATCCTTCCTGATGTCAGCCAATAGTTCGACGCTATACTGTCGACATGGTCTTGACTGACCTCATTGGGATGTCGCCCGTGCAGAGGCTTGCGCATCCAGGTGCGCATTTTTTCGTTGTTAGTAGGGTGGTTTATGCGCATTTCTGGTTCCCTCAGTTTGATCGGTGTTGTGTCATCTACTGCACAAATCGCGCGATGAAGAGTAGATGTCTCCGCCTGCACCTGAAAATAAGTTCTTAAATTAGTAATCTGTTTTTCTAATTGCTGGCTTATATCCATAAGTCCTCGTTATTATTATTATTATTATCCAAATTTAGCCATACGGCTCACACTCCCTCTAAGGGGAAAATTCACTCATCCCAGATACCTACGGTATCAAAAGGATTGAGCTCTGGTGGGACTCTTTCCGTGTTATCGAGCCCTAGGTGACTTGGTATGTTGGAGTATCTCCCAAAAATTTTCGTACACATCTGGACGTCGCGAGGAGTACAGCTTTCTGCATGGCCTTATAAAGATGTTCATTTAGACCTAGTTGTTTTATGTTCGTTAGGAGGTTTTTGGGAATAACACCAGTAGTAGATAGAACAATAGGTAGTGTCTGGGTACTTTCCATTCTCCATTGTCTCCTGATTTGTATTTCTAGATCTCTGTACTTGGCGATCTTTTCGTTGTATTTAACAACTAAATTATTGGTGTTGGGTATCGCCACATCAATAAGTATTGTTTGTCTAGTAAGTTTATTAACTAGTATGAGATCAGGTCTATTATGGGCCACTGGTTGGTCTGTAAGCATAGTGCGGTCCCAGTATAGCTTGTAGTTGTCATTTTCAAGCATTCTATCAGGGGCGTATTGATAATAAGGAAGATGGTCGGTTTGGAGAAGTCCCAGTTTGTCAGCTAGTTCTTGGTGGATAATCTTTCCTACTGAGTCATGGCGTTCTTTATAATCAGTACCGACAAATGCCTGGCAGCCACCGGTAAGATGTTGGATGGTTTCTTGGGCTTGGCATCCATATCGGCATTTGTCATTTTGGACTTGAGGATCTTTAACAATATATTTCAGGTAATTTTTAGTTGGAATAACCTGATCTTAGCAATTTGTTTATCTAATTGCTCACCTATATCCATAAGTCCTCTTCCCCCTTGATACCGCGGTAATGTTGTTCTCTTTACTGCACTACGTGGATGATGTTTTTGCGCCTTTGTGAGAAGTGTTCTTAGATTTGTATGTGATTTATCCAACAATTTAAAATGCCAAGAGTTTGCGTTCGACGGTAATTTCGTCATTTAAGCGTCTTCGAAAAATGATGCATTGTAGGCATGGAAGATGCCGCTTTTGGTTTACGGTAAATTACACGGAAGGATACAGCTAATCCATCAAAGGTGTTAAGAGTTTGGAGGAGGTGGTCCAATGATAAGATTTATCGGCGTCGTGGAGAGACTGCACGTTCTAGAATATTGCAAGACCGTGATTTGCACCATCTTAGACTTCTTGCTCTCAGAAATAGACGGGACAATTAAGAGATGATTTAGCTGCAGCTACAGGAAGGGTAGTCTCAAGAAGAATAGTTAATCAAACATTACTTAGAGCTGACTGAGAGCTTACCGCCCGCTTTTGGGATTACCTTTAACACCATAGCATAAGGTTCGAGGTTTAGAATGGTGCAGAGTTCTGCCAAACTGGAATGGCCAATAGAATTTTGTCTTTTTGAGTGACGAATCTAGGTGTTGTTTGGGTGGCTCTGATGACCTCATAAGGTGAGAGACGAAATATAGACTTGGCTGTTGAACGTCTTACAGCAAGACAACAAAGCATTATGGTATGGGGTGCTATATGTTTTTAAAGCAAGTCACCTCTAGTTCTTATTAGCGGCATTATGATAGCTTGACCATATATTTGTAAAGTATTGGTTGGTGAGTTTTAATAACGAAAAATTTATTTTAAATAATTGGTTACCTATCTAGTATGTAGCCACAGCTGTTTCTTTAATTTTATATGTTTAAATAATATTGTTTTATTAGGTATTCATATAAAAATTACATTCCATTTCCCTGGTTATTTAATGGAAGGGTCGGTCACCAGGCTATAAAATGGCAGGGACTATTATTTTTACATGAATACTTAAAAAACAAAATTATTTAAACATATCAGATTAAAGAAACATCTCTGGCTACATACTAGATAATTAATTATTTTAAACAAATTTTTGGTTAATAAAACTCTTTATAGTTTAGAGTTAGAGAATAGTAAAAAGATCTTACCAGGGGACTGTTTTCACTAACGGCTGATACGCAGAGAACAAACTTCACACTGATTACGTTTCGTTTCATAATCAATGTTCCACACTAAATCAAAATTTGACTTCAACGCAGATTTTAACAGGGGACTGTTAGAATAATTTGAGAACAGCATTTGCACATAGATATTTTGATTAAAATTTTATTTTAAAAATATAATATTGATGTCAAAAATGGCTTACCTTTTTCTATGTATTTTAATATTTTTTATTCAGTTATTAACGAAAACAAAAATACTTATAACAACTTTTGTAATTCTGGAAAAGGGATATATCAGGGGACTGTGTTTTGAGATGTTTGAGGTTCATTTATGTAAATACTCCATTATTAAATTACCAAATACGCTGTGAATTGCCAAGAACATCTAATAATATATAGTGATTGATTGAAAAATCCTAAAAATATTAACATTTATTACATAAAATTATCTTGGGACAGAGATTTTCTGTTTAGTGAAGAATTGCCTATATACGCCAAAATAGTTAAAATAATACTAAAATTATTATTAGGGAACTTCTAAGCAACTGGTTATTTGTGACAAGGATGGCGTACGTATAAATATAATTGATGGCGTGCAATGAACTTTAAAGTAAATCATGTATTTCGAATGTGGAGGGAGACTACCGGAGACTGAACATACACAGCCGAATAGAAAATTAGGGTGACCCGTAATTGTAAATTTAGAAATTAAAAAATTTTTCGTATTATTTACGTTGTATTAGTTGTATTAGTTAGCAGCTAGTTAGTCCACTAACTAGCTGCTTAAAAAAAAACTTTTTTTTTTATTTTAATTACTTCCCAAATTTAATCTATTGACTATCGATACATATGTTAGTATATATCTCTGATTGACTAATATGTAATCAATTTCATTTTTGCTTTTCTCTCTGGGCTTATCCAGGCCCAACTTCTATTTTCTGATTTACTATGCTTCCCTACTGCGGCGTGAAATTCTCCCATGATTATTTGCTGTCGTTGCCATAGAAATATCTTCGTAATATTACTTTATTTCATCATATGTTGATTGGCTAGTGGGAGCGTATACTTGAATAATTTGGATGCTGTATTTTTCTGATAGTTTAAGAACAATATATAAGACCCTCTCCGATTTTTCAGCAGTTTTTGTGACCAAATGTTTGATTTTTTTTATGGATCAATTGTGCTGTACCGCCAACGTGTGTATTGGACTCTTTATGGAGCTGGTAAAACATATGTCCAGACTTGAGTATTGTACATTGTTCTCCTTGTAGTGTCGTTTCACTTAAACCAAGGACATTTCATATAAATTTAGTTAGTTCTTTCAGTTCATCTATTCTTTCAGAAGATTTAAGGTTTCTGAAATAGAAACTATCAATATAAATAGGTTGCTGTCGATGTTTTAATGAGTTTTTGTCTTCCCCAGATTCCATGAGGCTCACCTCCTTAGAGATGTGGGATTGAGCCCCTACCTGGGGATCAAATCCTGCAAAACTCATTTAGAACATAGATCCGACGGTCACTGGAAATGTCACATTTATTAACCGAAATCTATTGAGAATACTTATAATTAATAATATTGTAAACGATAAAAAAACGTTTTATCATTGGACAAAGACATGTTTTTTATTTAGAAGTATACAAATAATTATATTCACTTAATCATGTGGTTATTTCATTATATTCATTGTTGATGTTGAATAAATTTATATATTAAAATTATTGTGAATTTTAAACACTAGTCTACTATTATTAGGGCGTAGGAGAAACATATTTATGTTAAAAATGGTTTTAAATAACAATTATCAAAATAAATAAAAAACATTGAAAGATAATTTTTATTAATTATTGCAAAATTTCGTATGACAATAATTTTGGTTTTATTCTAAAGTGTAGCGATTTTTTAGAGACTTTTAATACTGCTGTCGATATCAAACTCAGACAATGGGCGGATACGGCATTGCCGGCACAGTCGGTACAGTCTGGTTGGAAGACTCTCCGAAATGAATTTGAAAGGTTTTTGCAAAAAGCAGCTGAAGCACCTGATCATGATGATATATTTGATCTACTGAAACAAGCAGTAGTTAATGAGGCAATGGTTAGACATGTGTGGGAAAGTAAAGCTTCCGAAATGCTTAGAGTAAGTATAAAGAGTAATAAGTATATATACAAAATTCGTAATATTCTAAAACCATTAGAATACCGGACCAGAAATATATAAAATATTTTGTAGGTAATTCAACTTAATACATTAGAGGATAGGACGATAGGTGATAAAAGGGATTGGGATCAAGCAGTTAAGTTCCTTGAATCAAGTGTTAAAGAAAAGCTTCGGGAAAGTGAAATAAATCTAAAACAATTATTAGGGCCATCAGCCAAAGAAAGATGGCTTTATTGGAAATATCAATCGGAGGTAGAAAGCAGAAGAAGAAATGTTAAGAATGAACTCGATAAAATTTTATACGCAAATGAAGTAAGTACATATAATAATAATCCTGATTTTACTAGGTCAGAAATCAGTTAACGAAAATAGCTCATTTTTATTTCCAAAAAAATTAAGTCTAATACGACTTATTATTATCCACTCGCGACATCGATTAATTTACAATAAAATGATTATATATATATATATATATATATATATATATATATATATATATATATATATATATATATATATATATATACACTTCATCTAATTTATATAACGATGCACGTCATCGGCGTCATAGCCTGTGACGGCACATGATACCAACACAAAATATTTAGGGCGTAGGTGTGTTCTTTTTTTAGAATCACTTTGCCGAGTACACTGGTATTACAGCCACTAGACATATTTTATTATATACGCTTAGAAATATTTAAAAATTTCTATTAATGTTAACTTAAATAAATACACAATAATATGTTTCATTTAATTTGTATAAATGCATTATAAAGCGTTTTTATCAAGAACATTTGTTCGGAACACACTGTAACTGTAATCGAACGAAGGTAAAATTTTGGGATAAATTGGTAACACCTATTTGACAGTTGCGGTGTTGACACTTTTTGTACTTCGTTATTCTGAATTTTAAAGTGAATATATTTAAAGTGAATATATTGTTTTATATTTTTAACTATTTAATAAAATCTGTTCTTTTTAGAACAAAATTAGTATGTTTTATTTCAAAAATGTAACGTAAGAATTTAAATAGTCGTTGTAAAGAGATGGTAATACTTTTGCAATAATTATGTAATCTATTTGATTTAAAATGGAGTCAGGATTTTTTTATACTTTGACAACTATGTCAACTTCGATCTCTGACGTAGATAATGACGTAAGTCGTTATCTAAATTAGATGAAGTATATATATATATATATAATATATATATATATATATATATATATATATATATAATATATATATATATATATATATATATATATATATATATATAATATATATATATATATATATGTGTGTGTGTGTGTGTGTGTGTGTGTGTGTTTCATTTACATATTGGTTTACATTTTTAGTGTATATGTGTTCGTCTAATGTCGTGTATTAATGTATAAAGTTATGTTAATAGTCATTAAATCACTGCTTATGGTCCATGGATGCGAGGGAAGCATTACATCCACTGAATTTTATTTCAGTAATTAAAACTACATATTTTATATTTATTTTTAACTGAAATATATTCTTCTTCTATCTACTTTTAGGTAATTCTGTCTGTTTTTGTTTTCGTGGACTGTGTTCTTCATGTGTTATATTTTCACTCCATCTTTTCTGTAGTCGTTCGGCACTTCTTCTAACAGGGAGCGATTTATTTCTTTATATCTGGGCTATCCTATCGTGTCAGTCTGTTTATATTATTCGATTGTCTCTTCCTATTCAGTATCCATTCGCCTATCTTTCCAACTTGCATGTTGTTCTTATTTCGCCACTTCTTTTTCCTCAGTATGTTTCCCATGATTCTTCATAGAATGCGCATCTTTTGTCTTTACGTACTGAAGCCACTAGGCTTATTGTATATCTTAAGAGAATGCAATAGTATTTTTATTTTCTCTTTGTGCGTCACCGATAACCTCAATTACAGTGAGATATATCATCTCAATATATATATATATATATATATATATATATATATATATATATACAGTGGAACCTCGATTATCCGTCAGGGCACCGGACCAAGGGTATGACGGATAATCGAAAGGACGGTTAACAGAACATTAAAAAGATTCTTTCTTAGTATAACTCTTAAATTATATTTGTATGTTTTATTTGACAATTTAAGAGGGATTTATGTTGTATGGGACTGTATGAGTACAGTCGAATCAATTTGATCTCGTGTCAAACCATATTCATCGATCATATCTTGAAACTTTCTTTTATATTCGTCAACGACTTGCAGCGCTCAATTTTTCACCTTCGATTTTCAGTTCTCGTATATCTCGTTGAAAACAATGCTCGTTCGGTAACAATTGAACAGGAATGGGCCAGACAAAGGAACACCTTCGCTAATAATTCATTTGTGGCTTTTTTCATTGTCTAACTATGTTTCATTTGGCGATCTAACGATCCCATTTGCAAAGCATACTTTTCAATTCCATCAGAATTTTCATTTAAATCATTGATTGTTGTTCTCGGAACATCATACTTTTTGCTAAATGCCACTAAGTGACACAATCAATGTTCTAATTTGAATCAAACTGAATTATGTTGACACACAGATATTGACTGTAATAATTATTGTGCTCTGCGTTTTTATTTTCGGCTTGCGATTCTAAAAATGAAACTCTAAAAGCACGGTATTATTTATCATTACCTATTTAAATTGAAATTTAGTCTAGAGCCCTGAATAAGAACAACAATTATTTACTAAAAAAAATGCGATGGTGGCATAACTTTACTCAAACAAAATTAATTGATGACTAAATGTTTACTTAAGTTGTCAATATAACTTATGTATGGACCCTGACGGTTAAGAGAGGTGATGGTTAATAGAGAGACGGATAATCGAGGTTCCACTGTATATATATATATATATATATATATATATATATATATATATATATATATAATATATATATACAAACAACGAAGTTTATTAGGGCTGCAGTCAGAAATTTGACCGGGATGTTATAGAAACACTCTTTTGACTTTTGGTCTATAGAAAATGTCACACCGAGAGTGCAGTACGGCTAATATAGGAATGCGCAATTACCGGATTTCACGCTTGTGCTTGGCGATACAAACAGGTCCAAGTGGTAGTCACAGAACCGTACCCAGATCTCTACGCCGGGTTCTGTTATTTATTATAAAATAATGTATTGATAAAATAATTGCCTTCAAGTAGCCAAATAAGAGTCATGAATTTGAATAAAAAGACCTTTTTATTTAAATAAGTTTATCGAAGTTTTTAGCGAGAATTTGATTATAAAACTGTATACTTTATTTAACTATCAAATGTATTTTTAATTACATTTCTTCATAGCTATAAATATACCGGGTGGAACCTCCGGTAACTCGATTCCCGTGCACCCAGCCCAATATCCAAGAAAAACTTTTTCTTTTCTAAATATGTGAAAAATTATCAGGAACGGGAATATCGAAAAAGCTTTGCACATTTTTTAATCCCGGCGATGTTATTAAAAAACAAGTTGCGCACTTGAATCACTGCGAAATTTTAACACCTACTATGAATTTTTTTGTGGAAATTAGAAGTGCAGTTTTTGTCCTTGTTAAAACATAATACAGTCTCGCATTTTTTACACACAACATAAGTTTGCCTATTTCCTTGGCATAGCAACCTGGTAGTTTTCAGCGAAACCTTGTGTTATTCCATATGTGATAATGGTTTTCCTTGCCTACACTTGACCAGATGAGCATGATAACTTACACTATAAGGTTTATAGTGTAAGTTATTTAACATTATATTATATTTATACTTTATTAAAGTAACAAATATATTTTAAATTACATTTCTTGATAGCTATAAATATACAGGGTGGAACCTTCAGGAACTTGATTTCCGTGCACCTAGCCCAATATCCGAAAAGCCCATACTCTGGACTGGTAAATGCATTTTATTGGTTATACAGTGTAAAATAATCGAGGTTACTCACAGATAAACAATTAATTATACTAAAGTCGTCCTCTACATCCGAGATGTCGGATTCGCTTTCGCTACTCTCCCCTGTGTTCGCGTGTATTATCAATTGGTCTACGTCATCTTGCAGGTTGTCTGCAGTCCACATCTCAGTTTCCGTTTTCTCAACAACATGAGTGACATAATTGCGCCAATTTTGCTCTGTGACGTACCTCGTCGTTTTTAAAAGTGGTATTATGGGTATCTACATATCGCTTAACTTGGTTCCACATTATTTCTATAGGATTCAATTCGCAGTGATGTGGAGGAAGCCTTAAAATATAAACATTATGTTGTAAAGCATACTCATCAAGATGATACTTATCGTATTGATCTTTAGAAGCACGCGCTGCTTCTAATAGCTGGGATTTCAAATAACACTACTCGAAAAAAAAAATTCCACTATCCATTCCTTGATTGCAGCTTTATTCCAGGAATTGTTAGGGAACCTCTCTTTACGGGAGTGGTACGATGCATTGTCCATGACAATGACATTTCTGCGACTATTATTTGGTAAATTTGATATTAATATCTCCTTAAACCACGACTCAAAATATGCGGCATCCATTTCATCGTGATAGTCGCCATCATTTTTCTTTGCCAAAAAAACACGCTGTGTGCCAGGAAGGAAACCTCCTGAAAAACCTGCATGCAATAAAACATATCGTGGACCTCTTTTAGTAGGTGGTTTTAAGCCAGTACTTAAACCTTTGAGAAAAGTATCACGACTGTTTTGTATCGTAGTATCGCACCATTCGTAATTTATAGATTGGCCAACATTAACCCACGATTCATCCAAATATATGATATTGCAATGGTCTTTTCGCAAACGTCGTATAGTTCTCAAATAATTATGTCGCCAATTAATAATATCCTCTCGCTCCACCATGATGCTTCTTCGGCCACGTTTCTTGTAAACAAATCCAATATCTTTCAGAAGTCTGTATAAAGTAGAAAGAGACAACGGCTGTATATTCTCATTACCTTGTATGAAGTTATGTATTGGGACCGTGCAAGTTCGGAACAGTGACACCTGGTGTCGTAAATCAGCAAAATTTACTGCGCTTTCATGTTAGATCGAGGTTACCGGATAACTGTCAAGGACGTAGCCCCAAAAAAGAATAAGAAGAAAAGTAAGATTGAGGTTATGTCGGTATGTTATTAAAAGGTAAACGTTGTATGTAGTGTAAATACAAATAAATATATTATTAAATTACAGCATTACTGTTAATATGGATGCAATAATAAAAACTGGATTTGAGAAAGTAAATCACCAAATAACTTTTCAACCAAGCACTGAGTCAAATGGAAAAGCTTTAGTAGTGGCAAATGTAA